CTATTTGAGGGCCAGCCTTTTTAATGGTCTTCCTTCACTTTTAAAATTGGGCCCTTCCTCCAATTTTAACATCTTCATTTCTTTGTCAGCACACCTGCTGTGTTGCTCTCTCCTTCATTTATAGTCTAGGTATTAAATCCATTCTTAAAGCTCAATCTGAGCCCTTCTAGCCTGTTTCTGATCCCTCCCCATTGACCAATAACTTTTTTTTTTTTTTAAGATTTATTTATTTTTGCATCCAGAACTGGGGTACAGGCCAGAGGTGCAGGGGTGGTGAGAGGATTCACCAGAGAGAGAGTGGGGAGCACAATAGGCAAATTGACGAAGTACACTGCTGAGGGGAGCAGCAGGCTAGACAGGAGAGGTCTGCTGTGCCACGTGGATCACCGCTGGGGCTGGGGATCTAACTCTCACTGAGGCTGCGGGCAACTTGCAGTGCTGTACTTTAACCCGCTGCACCACCAGGAAGGGCCTAACCATTAACTTTTAAATACCTTTGTTTCTGTGACTTCACTTTCTATGTAGTATGTAAATGCCTCTGTTAGTTCTCCCTCTGTCTTGTTTTATCTAATCTCACTTGCAACCACTTTTAGGTGGAAACTTTAAATAAGTCTCCAGTCGTTCTCCAGCCCTAGTTAGGGCTGAACCACAGAGTGATATTTGCAGTTCCATTACTAATCTCTAGAGCCACTAACTCAGCCTGTCCAAAGTGAAATTCCTGGGCCCTCCGTGGTGACGCAACAGGTTGGGATGCAGCGTTGCAAGCCAGCCACAGTCGATCCCCAACCAGGGAGCTGACCCACACAGCACAGCAGACCTCTCCTGACTGCCTTCTGTTCCCCTCAGCCGTGTACTTCGTCGATCTGCCTGTTCTGCTCCCCACTCTGGTGAATCCTCTCACTGCCCTTGCACCTTTGGCTTTTACCCCAGTTCTGTATGCATAAATAAATCTTTTTTTTTTTAATGAAATTCTTGTCAGGTTGGTGACCAGACTTAGCTAGGTCCCAGTATATCCGTGATAATAGCCAAGCCTGGGACTAATCCATGCGAAATCCAAGAAAAATGTATGTTCTCCCTGACTCCCTGTTTCAATACTGGAACTATTATATTTCAAAACCCTCAGACTTGAAGCCTTTGGAGTCTTTTAACCTCCCCACGCAACCACTTTCCCAATCCCGAACTTTGTTCTCAAGTTTTAAAACATAGTACACATCTACATCAGTCTTTCAGCTCCTATTCTTTCCACTCATGGGAAAGCTCATATATTCAAACTGAGTACTGTCATACTTCAATCTTCCTGGAGTATGCATACCCTGCCTGTTGTCACCTCACCTCACCTCAGACAGCCTTATCTGCTGATACACATGCCTCAGCAGCAGCACTGTGCCTGCTCTAGACTAGCCCACACTTCATCTGTTAGGAAGAACCAGTTGTCTTTGCACTTTTCCATATCACCCTTCAGGAGACACACCCTGTTTTTAGATGCAATAACCAGAAAAATCACAGCTTTGATCATCTCCAGAAGATTACTTTTACACAGTACCAGGTCAGTAGAGTAAGATGATAATCATGGCTCACCACATTCTTGCATCAGTTAAGTAATATATGATGGGTCAAAGACCATCGTGGTGGTGTTCACAAGCCTCTAGTTTCAGCTCTACTCTCAGCTCTTTTTAGCCCCCTACTAATAGTGAGCTGAGGGTAGAAACTGTCTTGTCCATCTCTTCATGAGTGCAGTAGCATACAGGGGACCTTTGGAAGTTCCATTGGGAATTAGGGGCTGCCTTAGTATGTGCTTGCTTGTTCAGCTAGGCCATAAAGTAGGATTTTAATGTGTATTTGTTCCATGGTCACACCATCTGAGCTAGAGCTACCTAGAGGCCCACATCGGATACCGGCCCTGTTTGGGATGGTTTAGCAAGCTGTTCTGACTACAAGGGAATTTGAAGAACTTTTATATGGTTTTGCTTTAAGTCTCTAGCTTAGCCAAGTGGACACTGACATTGAGGACCTAGGTGTTTTCATGTATTTACTTGTTCCAAATACAAACAGTTAAAACTACAACAGTGTGTGCCCTGATAGAGCTGGTGGTGGTGGTGGTGAAAATTTGAATCTTCTAAATTTAACAGTTTGCATTTGATGTTTGTCCTCCCTCACTCCAGATTCTGCCTGATCAATGCAGGGGTCTTGTACCTCTACTTCAGCAATTATCTACAGATAGATGAGGAAGAATATGGTGGCACGTGGGAGCTCACAAAAGAGGGATTCATGACATCATTTGCCTTGTTCATGGTATGTGGAACTGATAATTTTACAGCAGGCACTATCACTTCATGCAGTGCTAGTCACTCAACAGGAGCCCACTAATTGTGTGTGTTTAGGTTAGCTTTTAGAAAAGAAAAAAAAAAGCTTCCTGAGGCTGGGCAGGGGGTGCCAAGGGCAGGGTAAATGTCCTCTCTCGAGTCATGTTGTCCCAAAAGACTCTTTGTGGTATAGTCTTTTTGTGGTATTCACATCCAGTACCCATTATCAGCTTCTACATCTAATTTTTAACTTTGGCTACATATTAGAAACTACTAGGAATCATTTAAAAATATATTCTTTGCATTACTCATAATAGCCCAAAAGTTGAAACAACTATCACCTACAGGCTGGATGGATACTTAGAAGTTGTATATGCATATAGTGAATATCATTTGACCAAAAAGAGGAGTGGTATTGTTACATGACACAACATGAATGAACCTTGGAAACATTAACTAAAGGAATCCAACCACAAAAGATCAAACATATTGACTGCTTCCATTTATGGAAATGTCCAGACTAGGAAAATCCATTGAGAAAGTAAACTTGTGGTTGCCATGGCTCTGGGGAAGGGGAAATGGGAAGTAATGAACACAGCCATTTTTTTGAGAATGATGAAACTGCCCAGAACCAGTTAGTGGTAATGTTTGAATAGTTGTGACTTTTGAAAAATCTCTAAATTGCTTAATATATAGGGTGAACTTGATAGAATGTGAATTATATCTCCAAGTTGACTTTATGTTTTTAATTATATGCACTCCTCTTTATGTCCATACTGTAGTCCAAACCAGTAAAATACAGCCATAAAAGTTGTAAATGGAAGTGGTGCCCAGGCGTCTAGTTGTATATAAATTTTTAAGGTCCCAAGAGATTGCGTTGGACAGCCAGGCTTGAGAAAGAGCTTTGAAGTGGAGGCTATAAAGGGGGGTGGGGTTGTTATTTTCACATGTGTTGCTCACCCTAACACCAGCAGTACAGCCCACTTAAATGTCTTGTTTCCACATCTATAACTCTACCCACTGATACTCCATCTGCTGTTTGATGGTGGGGAGCGTTCCCTTCAGAGGCACAGGTGAGTGATCCTGGGCTGTTAGTGATTTCCGTGAAGTATTTTAGACACCCCCAAGCAAATCGTACATTGGGTAACCCTCGACACACTTTCTTATCTGACTTTTGTGTATGATATAGCTGCCTACATTGAACCAGAAGACCTATGAACATTGCTTATCTTCTCTCTAGGTCATTTGGATCATCTTTTACACTGCCATCCATTATGACTGATGGTGTATGGCCCCCACCTGCTCCCTGTCCAAAGGACCCTCTAGTTACAGCACAGAAACATGATTGTAGGGGCACCCCAACCACGTGGAGCTTGAAGACCCATGTTTCCTGGACCGAGAATCTTGTTTGTTGGGGATCAGTGTTTTCTGCAAGGGTTGTGACCTGAAATTTTTTAGCGAACCATCCACCTTTTGGGGAAAGCATTTCTGAATTTTCCGTCACCAACCTTTTCTTCTTGGATACCATCAGGATACCATCATGAAACACCCTTTTGCTGGTTGAAGCTGTCCTTTAATTTGATGCGCCTCTGGATCCGGATGAAACATTAAATTGTCTTCCTCATTTCTCCATCAGGTGTACAGTTTTTAAACTATCAGCGGCATTTCAAGTCTTCTAAAAACAGTATGGCAGTATGTGCGTGGTCCATGGCACAGTACAGGCAGCATCTATAAGTTTCCATGTAGAATGTTTTCAGATATTTGAATAAATCAAATCTTTAATTGAGAACCTGTTGATGATACCTGGTAAAACCTTTAACCCCTCTCCTGTAGCCTCAGAACCCAGTAGGAACACTAGAGCTAGTATCTCCTCTTATCCTCAGCTCTGTTCCCTACTTTCCTCTTTCTGACCCTTTAGCAGCCAGGATGTTTTTCCTTTTATGGACAGCAGGAAAATCATGGATTGGAGTTGGTGTGAGCTATGGCTTTGGCTTTGTGGAAAGCACCTTCTGATATCCCTGCCTAATCACCGGTGTGACTGACCTCACTGCAGTGTGCTAGGCTCAAAAGGTGTTGTCTTGCATTTGGCCACAAGATGACAAGACCACTGTGTCCAGGAAACCGTGGGCAGGTTCAAATGATAAGCCACAAAAATAAGAAACCTGACAGCTAGGACTGTCCAGAGAAGAGGCTTGTTGGGGGACATTTGATCTGTACTGTCTATGCTCTGGAGGTCATGTGGAGGCTTGACAGCCCATACTCTGCTCCTGGGAAAAGCCATGTATTCCTTCCACTTTCCAGGCTATATAGCTCTACCTTCTGAGGTATTCCAAGTGAGACCTGTAAATACTCTGTAAATGATTTTTTTCCTTACTATTAGTGATGAATTTTTTCCTTGTAGGTGGAGCCCCAGGGATTCAGAGTAGGGGGAAAAGACGTGCTACAAATCCTGAACTCAGACCCTGGAGGAAGTTTAGTTTCTCTTTTGGAGTCTTGACCCTGCTCTCCAGTGGTCTGTATTTGAATGAAGGTGGAGTCATGGCACTGAGAGGAATTCTGGTCAGTTACTTCTTAGGACTAAGAAAGGTGCAGGGGATATAGGTGGGATGTTGGATGTACAGGCACCCCAGCACTCCCCCACTTTACTGCACAACCTTGTCTCGAAGATGTTCAGTCAGACTGAAATGAGTTGGAATTCTAGGTGCTGCAGCCTTGTTTCCCTTTTCGGCCTCTGCTTGGGGCCTTAGCATCATCCAAGGAGATGTCATCTGTCAGGTTGATATAGGAGCTGAGGGCCTCCCGGAGCCCCTCACTGAGGAGAGAATCCTCTCCTGTGGCAGATGCTCCAGAGAACAGGAGGGAGCTGTGGAGAAGGGAGAAAAGCTAGGAGCCTCATTCTGTTTCCCCCCACACTCACCACATACCTAGTTCACTGTTCTCAAAAACCTGTCTTTTCCACGTAGAAGAACTGGGGTGTAGGCCCAAGATGATGGGGGTGAAAGCGTTCACCAGAAACAGTGGAGAGCAGAACAGTATTGAAATACATTGCTGAGGGGAGCAGCGGGGAGACAGGAGAGATCTGCTAGGCCCAGCCCAGACCTCCCGGGCTGGGGATCATATTCATGCTACAGTGGCTTCCGATAGCTTTGCAGTATTAGCTTGTCTTGAGGATGCCACCAGGGAGGGCTCTCCACACCTGCTTTTTCTTGCCTGTCTTCACTACAGACTTGCTGAGTAGGTTGGCTCATTGGTTCCCAGGTCTTTTGAGAGCCACCTTCCTGAGAAGGTGCAGAGAAGCATTCTGGGTTGTGGGTTCCCAAGGATAAATCTTAACTACTTTCTCACACCTTCATGTTGCAGGGGTCCCCTTACCTGTCCAACTCTTTCCAGTTGACTGGTTTTGTCTGTACAGTCACAGGTGGGGGTATGGCTTTAGCAGGGAGTGGGCGAGTCCTCCGCAGGGCACAGGGCTCCTTGAGCAGGCAGCAGATGTCGTCTGCCATCGCTGAGGGAGAGACCAAGACTTGACATGGCTGACTCCAGCCCTGCTTTCTACCCGAACATTCCACCCCGACCTTGACAGTTCTCTACACTTGGCAGGTGAAGGCATAGTCAGAAAAGACTGGCAGGGCATGAGTCCCAAGCTGTTGGTGTCCTGAAGGCTAACATAGTCAAAAGTCATTTTGGGCAACATTTTTGAGAAGTAATTTACTGCGTGATCTTAAATAAGTGGATAGAACTTTTTGAACCCAGGTTTCTGGTTAGACATGTGCTTTGGAAGAAGAAAGCTAGGAATGCTAAATCTCTTATTTCTGTCAGTATATACTGCGGGCAACTACCCTCCAGAAAAGCCTGGAGTTTTCCCAGGAGTTGTCTTTACTCTGCTCCTTTCCCACTGTGCTCTAGTGACTGCATTCTCCAGTGTCTATTAAAAGACAGGTACCTGAAGATGCCAAAACAAAAAAACATTAAATTCCACACCAGCAACAGACCTGTTTCCTATAGAGAGAATTGGGCCTGCTGCTGGAGACCAGCAGTCACAGTGTGGCTGAGCTATTGATCTGCACTCAAAAGGGAGGTCCCTGTGGAATACAGTGGTATCTGGCTCTGGCAGCATGTGGGATGAAGTCAGAGCTCCCTTTCCCTGTTCTTTGAACCAGAGAGGCCTGACATAAAGATAGAGGTACTCTCGTAGCCAGATAGGTATTGGAAGTAAAATGTCTTAAGGACACAACTGTCTGCACCTCAGAATCCACATCCCAGTCTATTCTCATGGAAACAGGTAAAGGTTATACCAGAGTAATGGTCCACCAGGGCCTGGAGTGAGGGGAAGGTGAGGCTTGGTGAGATGTACAGCCAACCATTGTCAAGGTTATGGATCCTGTAGTGTCTGATCCGGTCCCATGATGAAGGGCGGCTGAGGCGGACGGACAGGGTAAAACAGCCTGAGGAGGAAAGGGCCAGGGCAAGACTGAGGCTCTGCTGGGATCCAGTCTCCCCACCAACGTGGGGAGAGAAGGAGATGAGCTGTCCACAGGGCATCCCACACAGAAGAGAAGTGGGCAGGAGAAAGATGAAAACATGCATTGATGATCATAGGTGGCAGCACATTTTAAAGATTTATTTGTGCATACAGAACTGGGGTACAGGCCAGAGGCTCAGGGGCAGGGTACTACAAAGTACCCTGCTGAGGGGAGCATCGGGTGGGTCAGGAGAGGTCTGCCACACCATGTGGTCACCTCCGGGGCAGACGGGTATTGAACTTATGCGGAAGTGGCTTTAGCTTCTTAGTGCTGTGCTTTAACCCACTGCGCCACCAGGGAGGGCCAGCACATTATTTTTTAAAGATATTAGTGCATACAAGAACTAGAGGTACAGGCCAGCGGTGGGGGGGGGGATGAGAGGATTCACCAGAGACTGGGGAACAGAAAAGGCAGAATGACAAACTACACTGCTGAGGGGAGCAGCAAGTGAGACAGGAGAAGCCTGCCAGGACATGTGGGTCACCTCCTGGCCTGGGATCAAATGCTGCATATAGCTTCACAGTACTGTGCTCTAATCCCTAGCACCACCAGGGAAGGCCTGACAGCAACAGCACTTTTTTTTTTTTTAAAGATTTATTTATGGGCTCTCCCTGGTAGCCCAACAGGTTAAAGTACCACATTATGAAGCTCTCCGAAGCCACTGCAGCACAAGTTCAGTTACCAGCCAGGGAGCTGACCTACGTTGCACAACAGACCTCTCTTGACCTGCCCACTGCTCCCCCCAGCAGTGTATATCAGTAGATTTGCCTGTTCTGCTCTCTACTCTGTCTCTGGTGAATCCTCTTACCCACCACAACTCTTACCCACCACAACTCTGTAGCATAAATAAATAAAATCTTTTTTAAAAAAGATTTATTTATGCATACAGAACTGGGGTACAGGCCAGAGTTGTGGTGGGTAAGAGGATTCATAAATAAATTTTTTTAAAAAAGATTTTATTTATGCTACAGAACTGGGGTACAGGCCAGAGAGGTGCAGGGGCAGTGAGAGGGTTCACCAGAGACAGTGGGGAGCAGAACAGGCAGATTGTCGAAGTACAGTGCTGAGTGGAGCAGCAGGCAAGATGGGAGAGGTCTGCTGCTCCATGTGGTCACCTCCAGGGCTAGGGATGGAACTCACTGAAGCAGCCATGGCTAGCTTGCAGTGCTGGGCTTTAACCCGCTGTACCACCAGGGAAGGCCTGACAGCATATTAGCAATACGGCTTTTGGAAGGATGAAATGAGATCAAATACACAGAGCTCTCAGGCACATTTTAAGTGAACATCAAGTGTTGACTTAATAAAAGATTCAAGTGGGCAGAAGTATTAAAATATGAAAATGGGGCCCTCCCTGGAGGCTCAGTGGGTTAGGACACAGTACTGCAAGCAGCCCCAGCTGCTTCAGTGCGAGTTTGACCCCTGACCCTGGAGGTTATCCACATGGCGCGGCAGACCTCTCTCCACTCAGCAGTGTACTTCATTGAACTGCCTGTTCTGTTCCCCACTCTGTCTCTGGTGAAGCCTTTCACCACTCCTATACCTATGACTTGCACCCCAGTTCTGAATGCATAAATAAATACCTCTTTTTTTTAAAAAATGTGAAAGCGTGTCAGATGTTAGCAAGACCATGGAGAAAAAGGAGCTCTCTTATTCCATTTTGGGTACATTTGGCATTAATTAGACAAGTGGAACATGCATGTGCCTTACAGTCCAGTAGTCCCATCTTTCTAAATCAAGTATGTTAACTTAGAAATACATAAACAATATCCATAGCAGCATTATTGGAAAAGCCCAAAACTGAACAGTCCACATGCTCTTGATAGAACAGTGGGTTACAGGAGTCTGTGGTGGCACAGGGGTTCAAGTCTTAGGGCATCGAGTTATCACCAGCCACTGTGGCTTAAGTTGCTCCCAGCAACATAAAGTGCAGCAGACCTCTCCTGTGTCACCCGCTGCTCCCCTCAGAGTGTATTTCAGTAGATCTGCCTGTTATGCTCCCCAAACTGTCTCTGGTGAATCCTCTCACCCCTGTACCTCTATTTTATACGCAAATTATTGTGTGCATAGACAAATAAAATAAATCTTTGGAAAAAATAGTGGATTAGAGAATATAATACTAGACAACAGTAAAAGTAGCTCCCTGCTGGTGCAGGGGTTAAAGATAGTGCTATCAAGCTATTGCCAGCCATTGCATCATGAGTTCAATTCCCAGCTGGCCAGGGAGCTGACCCACATGGCACTCTGTCTCTGGTGAATCTTCTCACCACCCCTGCACCTCTGGCCTGTATGCCTGTTCTGGATGCATAAGTAAATAAATCTTAAAAAAATTAAAAGGCACACAATTCCTAAATTTGTGTCTGCCCACCTAGAGATTCAAAATAAATTAAGCAAAACTGACAACATCCATACAATGATCATGACATTTCAACAATCTTCTCAATACTCCTGTAAGATTCCTCATGAAGACTTGAACAATACACTCAATCAAATTTGACTTAACATAGAACAGTGCACTCAGCAACAAAACATTTTCTTTCAATACACACAGAACACATTATAGTTTGGGTCATTAAAAACACACTTGAAAGGATTGAAATCAATAAAATTATGTTCTCTGATTAACAGAATTAAGTTAGAAATTAACAACCAAAATATCTGGAAAATCTGTAAAAGCTTTGAACTAACCCAGTTGACTGAAGAAGAAATCACAAGTGAAATTAGAAAATATTTTAACTAAATAATAAAAACAACATAAAAACCTGTGAGTTAAGCTAAATTGATTCTTAAAACTACACTATAGTGGGCCCTCCCTGGTGGTGCAGCGGGTTAAAGCACTGCATTAAGAAGCTTAAGCCACTTCCGCATGAGTTCGATTCCCGCCTGCCCC